GATGCACCATGTTCAATCGGTGTAATTAATAAACGTCGCAACATACATAAATGCCCGATGTACGATCAGTTTTACAAAATGTAAGGATTTGGATTACACAGAAGTGAAGGAACGATTCAGTAGCCACCGATAAAGATCTCTCCCGTTGGATCTTGACCGAAATGGCGACTACGACACGGTAAATCATCGACGTCGCTACAATTGTACGCGTCCTCGGTGAATTCGGAGGTCGATGGAATGGACGAGGACAGATTTTGGAAATACGACGACACGATTGCCTCGAATACAACGCCATACGAATGTATTTGTCTCGTCTCTGTCGAAAAAATGTGTCGTTTGTTTCCATCATATTGTACCTCAGATTTTTTGTGACATTAAAAACAACGCTGGTAAAGTTTCTGAAAGTTTTGATGATACCATGGAAGAAATAGATGGCATAAACTTTTGATGAAAGCTATAGATGATTCTGACATCCTTAAATTTTTTAAGCAGTTTAATGTCTTCGTTTAAGAAAAAAATGTATGCAAATTTATAGAATAATAGACTAGATTTGGATAGTAACATAAGAATAATACCTTGACAGGAATCATCAAATATGAGTGGAATTGGATTGAAACATTAACTGCAATTCACAATTACACTTAGCATCTGTACTCATCTAAGTATACACATGGGAGTATACATTATCATTTATCATGTATGTATTATGGAATACATGAATGTGCAGAGCACAGTAACTACTAACCTTTTTTTAAATTCCAGTGGTGTTTTAACTTTATACATAATGTATACTTGCATAATCATTCGCAATCTACCAACAATAAACATGCAGGTAGATCAGTCCTAAATATTCAGATACTTTTTTACAATTGTTACAATCAAATTATCAGGTTGTTGCATAATAAGTATATTAATAATAATTTCGACGTTTGCACTTATTACAATAAGTTTATGACTCGTTAGTCAAAATCTGTCAATTCGAATGGATCTTTTTTCGATTAAACATTTTCTGTCAGAGATAGATTTATGCAAATATACATTTTTATAGATAAATTTACAGAAACTAGAGTCATAGCAACGTTAACTAATTTTAATGAACTTTTCAACATGTATATAATTAACACAAATCGTCGAAATGTATTTATTAAATTTCCATTACAGTTTCAAGTAAAAAAGTTGTAAAAAGCAACCTTACTATTTTCTTCGCGATTCCCTAGTAAATAAAAGAAGTCTTTGTTCTCAATTCTGCCTTTATAAATTCCAGTAAAAAATGTTATTTTACATCAACATCCGCAGCCCAGTTACTACTGACGTAGTAAAACCTCAAGTACAAAATTCAAAATTCTACTCCATTTTAATTTACAGACACCAGTACCTAAAATCTTGATTCTGCATAAACTTCCGCAGTCTAGTCATAACCGTCTCACCTCTACAATTGAAAACCACCATTTATTACGCAACAACCTAAATAAACTATTCTACAAGCGGACGATTTACAATAATATCTTCGAGAAGACGCCTCGAACACGGCCGTCCGAAAAATACGAAGCTGAAACAAGGCGAGAACAGGATCCGAGAGATGACGAGCGTCCGAAAGGAGGCGCGATGTAGAAGGAGAAGAAATCACGCATACATCTGCATCGCATTATCCAAGCCGATCGTCCCCTTCCTGTATTTCACGCGGGCCATCCATCCTATCTCTCCAGGCGTAGACCAATAAAAATCTCTCGAAAGCAACGAAGAGAGCACCGCCGTCTGGTATCGACGACCTCGCATCAGCCGACGACCTTCGCCCTGAAGAGAACCGGTCCGAGGGTCGGGATGCGTCGCGGCTCCGAGGGGCCTGTTGGTCCCACGGGGGAAACAATGTCCGGCGAGGTCCGTCGCGGAGAATCGAATTGATTCGCGAAGGAAAATCTCGCCCGCGGTTCTCGGGGGTCGTGACCGTGGCGACCTCGTTCGCCACGATGCGTCTTCCACGCCGCCACGGTTTACATAATGCCCGCGACCCGCCGCGTGTTATGTCCGCGCGAGGATGGTGGTTCGCGATGATTCACGAACGCCATGTACGATTATGGAAAACGATTCACGGTAATCGGCTGATCGCGATCGATTCCCAAGTAGCACAAAAACGTCGTACGTACCTCTGAAGAACGTACATTCCGGACGTTTGGTACGTTCGGAGGATGTCTCGAAAAGGCCCACATATGCCCCCTATGTCCTCATTAAGAGCTTTACATGTCGTAGGAAGGACCTATTTATAAAGTGGAACGTCCTGTGTTAATATTCTCAGAACATTTTCGAAATGTGTAATAGTAACATTCTTTGTACTTTTTATAATTCAGGATTTAAAAGGTTAATAATCGCTACTATGAATTCTTTTAATACTCTCGTCACAATTGATTAATTCTGTCGTGAAGACGCCGCAGAACTGACGCATCGTCGCAGTAAAAATTAGAATGATTTAAGGCCCGTGACAAAATTCACGCGCGTTTCCGCCAAGCTCCAGGAAAGCCGCGTCTTTCGGGTAGCTTAAGTACGCCGAACACGTGCCAGACGATTCGTTTGCGCTCATTGAGAGTAGCATCCTCGTCTTGTGAATGAGAGAAAGACACGTATACAGTCCTGCCTAAGGAAATTTCGCTGGCCTGACATGCACGCTGGTGTCTGCCCTTAAGCGTTAAGAGGTCACATCAACGATAATTCTTCGCATAAATACAACACAATAAGAAGAATCGCTTTACGTAACGAACGGGATAATTCTATCAGAGCCGATCGTGCGCAATGACGAGCGGCGATTTACTCGTTTTGCTCGGGTCGTCGGAAAATAGAAGCACTTTCTTGTCCGTAACATCCTCTATTCCAATGAATCGTGAAAATAAGAATTGTGCCCTAAGAATTATTTTTTAGTGAACAACGGAGTACTTCAGAATCTTATATCAGGGTGGTGCAAAAGAATTAATCGAACGAATGTAAAATCGTAAAACTCGGTTTTTCTCAAATCGGTCGTCATTCTATTTGCATTGATTAAAATATTTTATTAATTCTTCTCCAAGTTAATGATTTAGAAGAAACCTATGAAAGTAATATTATGAAGTGTAATATTACCATAATTTATAGTTTGCAAAATTTCTGAATCTTACAAATTGTTCAGAAAAAAGAAACTAGAAAATTTTCTATAAGGAAATTTAAACACTAACAGTGTGACCTTATTGCTCGATTGAGAAAAATAATATTGTACAGGTACAAATCGAACAATTATCAATGATAATTAAAGTCATCCAAGATAAAATAGAAAACGTTCGTTGCGACGAGAAGTGTCATACAAAAATCTACAATGAAGTGTACGATTTGAGAGGTGCGGATATAGCGGAAAATTATCACCGCTCCACAAGCCAATCAACGTGTTCTAATATCTTCATCGCCACTCTCATCGCGGTCAAACATCAAGGTCCTTTTCACGTTTATCAAACTCGCACCGTGTTGCCGTTGCACTTCCGGTCGATACTGAATCACGTTGAACAAGTGTTTTTAAAACATGTCAACCCGATGGATTCAACTGACTGAATCATGGATCATTCGGTCCAATAGCAACGAAATTCACAAAAATGAATCAATCGACATATCCATATTCTGTACGTGCCACCTGCACAGAAATATTATCATAATTTCGGAGCGAAGAACATTCCACAGTTGTCCCGACTGTCAAATTCGAAGGATTGGCTAGCATGACATTTTGAAATGAAACTTCTTATGTCAGAGACAAATATGTATACATGACACTTCATGAGGTTTTGCAATTCGAAACATTAAAGTTTTCGAATTAGGAAGAAAGCTTCTTGCAGAGGTGCTGAACATTAGAACTACCAAAACAATCAAAATGACTACCTCGTAAACTCTTACATAAAAATTGTTACAACAATATAACAATGTGCTTTTCGAGATTCTTCGCAACTTTCATCGCAACGTATAAATCAAGGAGTTCGTCGATTCATGGATTAATATATTTTCAACAAGTTAACGTTTCAGCTTCGGTACTATTAGTATTAATCCCTCCAATCCACTTCTCTTAGATCCTGACTCGATTGTCGTACCAGAAAATCAACCAAATAACAATAAAACAAACAAGAAGATCGACCAACTCGCAAACAAGAACATCGAGCAACTCGCAAACAAGAACCCAGAAGAGTCGTCCCGACACGAGGACGATCGTCCCGTCCCGACAAAGGACTTCCATCGTCCAAGCATTACCGTACAACCGTTTCTCACAAACGCCAACTAAAACAACACGTAATGTACATTATCGCCCACACAGAATCATCGTCACATACGAACTTATCGACGTTCACCGAACCGCCTGCAATTCAGAGCCACGGGAATCTTCTCACGAACTCGAGTCTCGTTCTTGACGCCTAGCTCCTTCGCTGATGACGGCGGTAAGTATGTGTATGTATACATCCAACAACGAACATAAAAATATCGAGCACGAAAACAGCGAACAGCTGAGTGAATCAGGTTCGTCAACACCCGGCGGACCCTAACCATCCTCAAAAACCACGGTATACCCATCAGGGGTCTTGCGAACATACGAACCAACGGATCTGGAGTCGCGGTACGGATTCGATAGTTGGTAAATCTCGGAGGATCGCGGTTGTAGCCCCTATGTTCGTTTTGCTTCGGGCCGGCGTGGGCCGTGTAGAGAGGAATCGACGGCGAACGCGCACACACACTTGTGGCGGCACCAGCCGGAGATCGAGCGGCCCCAGGGAGGAAGAAGGAAAAACGAACCGAGGGAGGCAGAGACGACTGAAGCGAGAGGGAGAAAGAAGAAACAGGAGGGGGAGGAAGGTGGTGGTGGTGGAGGACAGTAGTAGAGAGATGAAGGGCCGCGGAAGAGAGAAGAGAAGAGCAAAAGAGGGGCCCCCTAAGACTGGCCGGGTGAAGAGGGTCGGGGCCCCCTGTACGATCCTGGCCGAGCCTGGCCGCCGCTGGTGGGTAACATGGGTATATAAGCGGGGCCCGGACGATTCCATCTCGACACACGACCCAACCTTCATCCCGAACACCGACGAAAAACGGTTCCTACGCAGAAAAAAAAACGAGCGTAATCGTACGCGCGCGACGAAAAAAAAATAGCAGAAGAGGGGTCTACACAGAACACTCGCGGCACAATCTGTTCGGCTCTCTTTTGTCCGCTGGACTGTTTTTCCCCGAGCGTTTCGCACCATACGTAACGAGCACATCGGTTTTCCACGGTTATTTTTTTCGTAACCAGTTCAATCGGTGAAAGAGGAGCATTTCATATTACTGCGAGAAGCAGCAACAGGACGAGAAAGGCGAACGGAATCAACGAAGCAAGTTCGGTTCCACTGGGAGGAGAGAAAAAGACGTGAGTACCAAAATCCTTTTATATTACATCGTGTTTCCGTATCTTACGTTGACAGCTGGGGAACTTTTTAACGGGTTCGAGGATAATGTAGCTTGTTCTTGTGTTCGATAAATTATCATTTGACCACGATAGGATCAAATCGATCAGTAAATCTTCGATGAGTGTTCGAAGGCTCCTTGGCACTGAACATTAAATATTTCATAAACTAGTGGCCATATGCGGCTGAAACAAATATTATTGGCTTCAGAATTCCAAGCTCTATCGTTGTGTTGAATCTCATTAAAAAGTCAGCCTTACACCTGAGGATCTTTCCTTGTTGCTGCCGAGAAGCCTCCGAACACTCATCGAGGATTTACTGCATAAGGAATCTCACGAGACATGTCATCGTTCGTTGTTTCGTGTCTTTTTTTTTTCATACAACCTGACAGATTAGCCGGTTTTCACTGAAAGAATACTAGATTCGAAGTTTCTCGGATGTTTTGCAAGTTATCCGAGATGTCATCGTACCTAGTCCTCGGGTTGCGTTGAAACGGCTGTCTATAAAATCCATTATTAAGGCGAGGAAATCGCGCGCAAATAGAATAATCGTCGGGTACATATAATTCCCCGTGGATTTCACAAGGAGCCCGACCCCGGCGTTTGCGTAATTCTACGCTTCCTCTCGCAACGCGAACACTCGTTTTCCATCTCTCGCCTCGCGAGCGTTTCCTCACGGTTAATTAGCCCCCTGCTAATCTGCTTGATCTGCGAATTAGCTGCGACACACGAGACGCGCAACGAAACCAACCGAGAGGGATCCTCCGATCGTCGCGAAGCTCTTTTAAAAGAAACTTACCGAATCACCCATTCCCGTCGAACAAATCGATCGGACACACACGGAATTAGTGTGGAAGTTTTTTCGAACCTACAAGAAACGCCTAGGTATTTTCTTTCGGAAGTACTGAACCGAAATACTTCAGCTTTTTCCCAACGATTTATTATAAGTATTAACTGGTACGTTTTTATTGCTCTTGGAAATATTTTGCAGAAAATTGTTACATGACTGTGAAATTTTTGCTTACGATAGTATTGAACCGTACTGCAACCGATTTTTTTAGAAATATCAACTCTACATATTCAATTGTTCGCGTAATGTTGAAACACATTGGATTCGGTAATGATAAAAATTGCTATCATCGGAGTGCTGCAATTTCCTGAAGTAAAGTAGTGTACCAATAAGTATAATCCATTATATTTCTGTCAGATTCAATGGTTGTTTTCGTAGCAATCGGAAACATCTGGCATTTCGAGAATATTTCTCTTCATTCTTCAATAATCGACACCATTTTCAGAGAGAAAAAAGAATAGAAAAATGTTTTGAATCCACATTCTGTTACCAGTTTATTACATATCGAGTTTCTTATCGGTACACCGAACAGGTAAACCAACCAGTAACTGACTGCATACCAGTGAATGACCATTAGGCAAAGAAATGTAAATTATAAATTTAAAAATTATTAAATATTTACAAATGGAGTGCAGTTGCACTTTTAATATCTTATATTTTTAGTTTAGCGTATTAAGCGAACATTAATAAGTACAATACTCATTAAAAATATTTCAGAAATTTACCAATCATTTACTGTGCTTTTACACGTTTTGCACTCTATAAATAATTTCTTAAATATTACAATAACAATAAATAATTACTTTAATAAAAATTAAAAAAAAAAACAAAATGCAATTGCAATTTCAACAGTTGTTTTGTTGTCATAAATAAATACATTCAAGTACCAATTCAAACGTGCATAAATTCCACAATTCGGTCGTTCGCTGGTTGGTTTACCCTACCTTGAAACTTTAGAAATGTCATTGATTCGATTAAATTCGTCTCTGGAAAGTGATCGGGACCGACCGGTATTGCCAGCGTGATCGCGTCAACTGCGCCGCATTCTCCGTCCAATTGATTCAATATACGCAGATTAGATCGACAATCGCGCACTTCGAAAAGGACAGAGAGCCGTCAATAGATCGCCGTACCGCGAAGAATAGAGGCGGCAGAGGGACGAGGGAGAGAGAGAGAAACAGAAGGGAAGCAGAAAGCATTGTGAAGCATGGTGAACCACTTGATGGTCCGCGACTTCTTTGTAACCGTGTGCTACCATTATTGCATCTCTGATGATCTTGATAAGGTAATGGGTGGCCATCATCTTTCACAGGCATATCCTCTCCATCAAGTCGTTCCTCCGACCCTACCCTTCCACCCCGCGAGAGATATATCATCGCATTGTTTTTCTTCCTGGTCCAATTATTCGGCTTCCGAACGATACTCGGGGACTGTGCAATGATCGTTGGAACTACCATTGAAAATGTCACGTAAACGTCAACTCCGCGCTACTGGCTCGCAAAGCAGTTTGCAATTATCATCGACTGACCGTTGCGTCCGCTGGTAATACGATCCAGCTGGCACGATCGTTATTAATACCGAGGCGACTCGCTAATACACGTATCTTTCTCGATTTATTATATCCTTGGGATAGAAGAATTTCTCAAACCAAATGATTTTTTGAATCAACAGCCTATTTCTTGCTAAACTGAATTTTTTTTTTATTTCAGAAATTATATCCGTTCCTCTGGTTTCATAAAACCAAAATTCCGTTTCACAATCGAACGTTACCACTCGTCAGCTCGATCTATTAATGCAAAACCGAAGGATTTTTTCGGTTCGCCCCACACGTATCGTGTTTAATTCATTCTGCGTCGCGTCAAAGACTCGATTAACTCTTAATTGACTGAAATCATTTACACCTAGATGCGACACGAACAGACGACAGACTACTTTTCAGAAGTTCCTCTTCATCATCGACGATATCCTCGGGACATTCGTTCCGTGTGTTCGATTTCTATTAACGATATATTCAAAACACGGACTTCGTACCCTCGCCAGAGCCCGCGTTTCCAACTCCCAAACGCACAGTCTCGATCTAACGATCATAAAAACTGGCACGGTTACACTACCTGTCTGCCACTCTTGATCTCTCGTCGCCCAGTTTTTCCGTCTCTTTATCCCCGTTTTCCCTCTCCGTTCGCGCCACGCGCATTCCACCGCGAGTCGCGCGTTCTCCACAAGGCGTGTCTTTAGGGGACAACAGAAAACACGCTCCCGGTCGCGTCTTTTTGCGCAATTTTCGGCAGCCCCGATATACAAATAAGGCTTGGATTGGACACTCGGTCGAACCACTTCTGGGGCTTCGCTTCGATGCCAGAACTGTTCGTCCAGAGACATGCGGTCCTCCGATTTTCGCCTGTTGAAACGTTCGTGAACGCCGACCGCGACAGTTCTCGACCCGGTGCAACGAGAGGAACAGCTTCCTCTCGGTATAAATTACTCGCTTGATTGACCGCGGACTCGGACCTCCGAACGGAAGGTCGTTCAACGGTGGCTCGTATCGGAGAGAGAATGCTATTGGACTTGGTCTTTTTTTTTATCCGCCATCGAGAGCCGGTCTAACTTGCGCGCGGGGCGAGGATTTCGTCAGCGTCGCCGTTTCGCTTGTCAAGGGGCCGTGTACACCTAGGACGGCTAAAAAGAGGTCGATTTTTGTGAATCCTTCAAGGAGAAACTGATACGTTTCGTTATTTCTTGTACCGAGAGTATATTGAACGATTTTTACGAAAAATTTATAAAATATCCATGTTACAGCCAGGTTTACAAGTCCCCTTTTTTGGTAACACGGTTGCGATGCTAGTCGTGACCATTTTCTTAAAATATACGAGTAAGTTTAGTCCTTGATCCTTTCATTCCCAAATTATTTAAAAATCACAGGAGAAATATTTTGTTGTGTTTTTGTGTATATTAGATAACGTAAATTCGCAAGAAAATTTTAACATTTTGGAACCGTCTAATGGAAATTTTTGTTCGTTGCAATTTGACAACCGTTTTACTTTCACCGGAGTTATATATAACGATTCTAATTGTAATGTTGTTATTCTTAATGAAACCTAATGTTTCTTACTTTTGATCAATAAACCCTCTTGATATATTTGAAAGAAGTTACAGTTTTGTAAGTTTCTATTGTATTTGTACCTATGCTCAACACTTGACTTCCATCATATGAATTAGACAAGGGACAAATAGGTAATATTTTATTTTACCGATTAAACGCACATTCAGACTTGTGTCATACTGCCTATACAAGAGTAGAAAAAACTATTATATACTCACTGATATAAAAAAACACATGATACTAATATTTTATTTCGTAATTTAGAATACGTAGCCATACGGCAACAGTGGAGACGAAAAAGTGAACACAGCCATTTTTTTGATAAAATGATTTCTAACAATATAATGGTTGTTCAAAATACCAATTTTTCGTTCAAAAATCGCTCAAGTTTTTACTTCACCGAAAAACCAGGCTTCAGATAAAAAGCATCTTTTGTTGAAACACTCGGACCCGTTTGGCTTTGTTTGTGTATATTACCTTAATTTTCATCGAATCACCTCGGAAACTTTGTGGAAACATTTTTCATTAAATCAACTTGAAACTTTGTGGAAACATTTCCAAGGTACCGTACTTTAAGAAAATCGAAAATTAAAATTTTCCAAGTGTGTATGCCCCCTTAATGCTCCCCGGTTATGTTCACCGATGTCTATTGGACACCGATTGTCTCCGGTTTCGCGTCTACCCACTGCCAGATGGTCGCCCGAGACTTCGATAGGCGTGCGATACCAATCTGCGCAGCGGAATCGATTTACAGGGTTTCAACAATATAAATGCCTGATGCTTCGAGTTCAACGATAAACGTGCTGGAATATTCGCAGTTTCTAAAAGGCTATTCACTCCTCGTCATGATTAGCCAAGTGATGACAGAGTACTTGGAAGTAGAATCTCTATAATTTTCATGAATGTCACCGATTCCATCGGAGTGAACCGGACAGTCCTCTCCTTCCGTTCGCTACCGGAAGACCCACCCATGTTTCGCTTTCCGTTCGCGGAATCACGCAATCTCCGCGTGTAGATTCAGTAAAACGACTGATTACGCGTTTGTATTTATTTACAAAAAAAAAAAGTACAGATTCCCGAATTTCTATTCCAGCCTCGTATATTCATGAATCATTCACGAGACAACGATCTCGCGTATCAATTCAGTTTCGTCTTGTCCATGAGAATCCTTCAAGAATCACGTAAACAACATTCGAAAGATCAACGTTTCGACCTTGCCATCCGTTTATCAACGAATCACCCGTCGGTTTAACGTTGCGCGCAAGGAAAGGCCCGTCCAATTAAAATCCGTACCGAGTGTGTCCCGACACGCCGTGTAAGGACAGCTCCGGCATCCGGTGACGAGCGCACACGCGAGTTCGATCGATCGTTCAGTCTCTCGTGACACAGGACAGAGGCTTTGGAAACGTTTGGAAACGCGACGAAGAAAGATGCACCGCAAGAGAAGTCGCGCGAACACGCGCGCGCGCGCGCTCGCAATATAACAAGCGCGCGAGGGGCACGCATCCTGTCATTAGTTCCATGACGCTCGCCTTATTCAATGCATTCGGTTCAATGTCACCTGTCCCTCTCCTTCCTGCCGGATCCTCTAGCAGCCCCTTGTCCATCCTTCCCCCCCCTCTACCCTGTTTCTGCCTCCCCCCCCGTCTCTTTCTAACCCGTGGCTTTTCGTCTCGCGGCCCATTCATATGGCCGTGTTCTCCATTCACGCCAAGTGCCAGAGAACCGCCGCGTACTGACGTCCGCTTCTCTTAACTGGAAGATTGCGAGGAAACGTCCCCTGGTATACGTAGTTTCCTCTTGTCTTTCGTTCGCTTCGTTCTTTCCAGCCGATTCTTCGACTTGAATCTGATCGTCCACGCCATTCTCATATTTCGGCGGCGTGTTTCGTTGCAGAGCCGATGGTTCAGCAATTTTCATCGTGACTGCAGGATTTCACGGAGAATAATGTGTGAATGTGGTCACCGTGGAGTTGATACTACGTTAATAGAGTGAATGACAGATCACAATTTTATAATATTCCATCGATATTTCGTAAAGCCTAGTTTGTAAAGTTGGTAGAACCAGAAGAAATACGGTACTGTCGAGATGGACATATAGGATAAAAGCATTCTCATCTACCTTGTTTAAACGATATCCCTCTTCGTTCCAGAGATAGCAAGATGAAGGTGATCGTGACAGCGATGGTATGCCTGTTGGGGCTGAAGTTGGCGATTGCCATGCCCTTGGGCGGTGCCGATGAGGCGTCGTCGGATCAAGCTGAAAGGTGGGCACAGAAACCTGCCGGTGCTCCGGGAAGTATAAAAGCCATCGCGCCCGAGGAAAAGAGTGCCATCCTAAGCGACCCTCTGCCCGACAAGCTACCACTAGCTGAGAAGACTGAGATTAAGATAGAGGAGCCTCTCGTCAAGGCCGAGAAGAAACTGGAGGAGATCAGCAAAGAGCAGAAACTTCCCGAGCAAGAACCTCCGCTATTGGAGCCGAAGCCGATCCTCCCTCAGGAACTGAAGCCGGAGGAGCCCAAGGAAATTAAAAAAGAGGAAGAGAGTCTGAAACAGGCTGCCTCTGAATCCCTCGAAACGGTTCAAGCTGTGCCTCTGGAACCCAAACAAGAGCCTGCTGCAGCTCCTCTAGAGCCGGCCGTGAGTATTCTATCAAACATATTTACCTTTTTAAATTTCTTTAATTTGTGGGGCATACCAATTCTTACCCGATGATATTTTGACGTTACAGAAACCTGTGTCCATCGAAGGCAAGAGCTCCGAGCAGGTTCTGATCTCCAGTTCAGAGTCCGCTGAGAAGAGCGCGGAAGCCATCAAGGAAGAACCGAAAGAAGAGAAAAAGATCGAAGAAGTTAAACCCAGCCTAAGGAAGGAAGACGAACCCGCTCCCGTTCTTCCAGTAGCCTCCGAGGAAAAGGTAGCTCCCGCTCCCGAAGAAAAGAAGCTTGCCGACAAGCCCGCCGAAGAACCAGCGAAGAAAGCCGAGGAGAAGCCGGACCGCGTAACCCGTGACGCCGAGGAAGCAGTTCCCGTAGTGAGGAAACTCGACGTACTCGCTGAACAATCCCCGGCGCCGGCTGCAATCGAGAAGATCGAAGAACCAGCGAAACTAGCCGAAGAGATCAAACCGGTCCTGAAAAGCGAGAAAATCGAGCCCGCTCTAGAACAGCCCGCCATCAGCTCCGAGGAATCCTCCAAGAGCGAAGAGAAAGTGGACCTTGCCGCTCAACCGGCGAAGGAGGCGAAAAGCGCCGAAGTCGCCGCTCAGGTAGAACCCTCATCCGAGCTGGCGAAACCGGACGAGGCCAGCCAGGCCAAACGGGACGCCGCTGAGGCCCAGTCCCAAGCCAAGTCTGCGCCGCTCGAAGAGAAGAAGAAAGAGGAGGAGCCGCTGAAAGAGGACGCCGTCAAGGAAGCGAAATCGGACAACTCTTCGGAGGAGAAGTCGGCTGAGAAAAAAGAGGGGAAGAGCAGCGAGGAGTCTTCATCATCCGAAGAGAAGGAGTCCAAGCCAGCCGAGGCAAAGCCCGAGCTTCTGCCCAAGCCCCAGGAGCTCAAGAAAGACGAATAATGATCGCAGCGGGAGAACGAACAACGGTAGCCCCAGAAGCAGCAACATCTCAACGAGATAGCGATCGCTCGTAATTTATCCAGATACAAAACACCGCCGCGTTGAACCACCAAGCAACAAGGATGCGCGCGAGTCCCTTCACCCCCGAGGATAGAGGCGAGAGGGAGCCTCTATCGCGTCTGTACGTCAGGATAACGTGAACGGGAACGGGTGAGAAAGAGGAAACTGAGTGAAAGCATCGGTGTGAATGGGAGAGAGAGATTGTTTCGATCAAATTGTGGCAGGGTCCAAACATCCCCCGGCGCGCTACGATTCCGAGATAAATAATAACATATGTTCATCGCGATATTTGGGGCCAGGATGGCCACGTGGCTTACCTGGCTGTGAGGGACAAGACTTAGGACGTCGATAACGAAGATCATGATAACGACGACGACCACGATGACGACGCTCCCAACCCGAGCGAACAACCCCCGCCCCTAACAGGAACACGTGGCCACCCGACGGGATACCGACCTAGCGGATGTCATGGATCATCCTCAAATTCGTCCCGGCTTCCTTTTCCCCCCCCCCCTTTTTTTTTGTTTCTCAAATCCACACTCGACCACAACCACAACCTCATCCCAATAAATTAGTGTGTAGCTCGACTCTGTCTTTTTTTTTTAGAGATACGTGTCATTTATTATTATTAATATTATTATTATTACGATTTAGTACCAGTACCGCTATTATTATTATTATTTGTATTATTGCTATCATCGTTATAATAATAATTATTATTATTACTGTCAAAACCTTGGCGATCTTCAGTCCAACGTTCCCCGTATGATAAACAAGATTGCTGTATACAAGATGCTGTGCGACAATCGTGATAAAGACATTCTTCATAAAACTTCCTTAGTCATCGATCATGCTCGAGAAACTATATCGTGATCGAATTCTACACGATATTACCATCGACTGTATACATTCTTCAATTGTTCAAATAGTATCGATTATGGCTGTCGTAACGAAATTATCGTCAAAAAGATGTCAGGATGTGCTAAAAATCGTCGCACGCGAGGACATTTACAATCGATTCTCTACAATTTCAAACCGTTCTCGAATTCACTGAACCATGGTATAAAACTTCTACAAATCGAGTCTCCGGTGAAATAATTTATCTTTCCGAAACGAGGTTGCCAGGAATCGTGAAATACCCTCCCGAAAAAAAAAGAAGGTTTTCGTCGTGAAAATGGCGTCGAATTATCTTGAACACGAGGGGGAATGCAGTTGCACAATGGATTCTCGTGATTGGTCGTCACACCTCCCGAGCAATTCACCGGTCCGCACGACGACGACATTTCGCCGTGTTGCATCCGCGATGGATCGATTCATCAAAAGGCCGAATGAAAAGTTAAACGTGCGCCGGGCACGGTTTGTAAACAGTGAGGATAACAGAGGTGAGTGGACCCGGCGAAATGTCAGGGTATGAAGGATTTCGCAACGAACGGGAATACGTTCGTCGGTTTCTTCGATTCCGAGCCCCCTCCCCTGCACAGTTTTACGCAAGATCGACCAATCAGACCCCCCGTCTGTAATATCGGGAACCGTCGAAAGTTGGCGGGAAAACGATCACGTGACAAGGATTTTCAGACGAACGCGGTTTGCTATTTTAAGGTCACTGAATCGATTGAAAAGGAATACATATTTAAATGGGTATGTAGTTAATTGTAGAGTAGTTGTTATTCTTGTTAACAAGAAACACATTTCTGTATCTAAATTTGTTATTCTGCATAGTAAAAACGTAAATCGACATATTTTATTATGATATTAGCCTGATAGTTAAAATTTCGGTAGTCAATATGTTAAGCTTCGATGTGACGCCATTTTGTATGGTGACGCAAGATTTGTTTGGTATTTGAAGTAGTGTGAGAAAAACTGGAATCGAAGCCATGATTCATGTTTACGGGAAAAATCTTTAATTGCTAGGTGCAATCAACGAGTCGTAATTATATGTTAATCTCCAGGCTACGCTTGTTGATTATAATCAATGAGTAACTTCAGATGACATGTAAATGTAAGTAAATATCCAATTATTTCATTGATGTAAGACTTTAAGATATCGTTTTGTAATGTTATTTATAACATATCTAATAAGTACTAGCAAATTATTAATTACAGTTTCAATTAGTCATATACTGTATTAACAACTATGGTTTATTTAATCCGTGGTAGGCACAATGGTGCAATTTCGCACCAGTACAAATTTCAAGTGTTTTTGGGATTACAAAATTTCAGTATTTACAGGTGAATAAGTGTATGTATTTCCTCCATTACGGTAAGTATGTCTATCCCCTACACTGCCCTACAGTCTCAGGAGTACGGCCCCAAGGGCCGAGGGTCACTTACAGTTTAGTTTTCAAAGGAGCGACATCGAAAGTGCGCGTTGGTGCGAATCGCACCTGTGTGCCTAAAACTGTTGTTGCTTTGGTGTTTCTCCAAAAATAAAGGAAAGTGTTTTTGGCAGTTCTTTGCATAAAACTAACTAATGTTAACATAAATAATTATTTATCTATATTTTATGCATTATAAACAATTACTTTCTTGTAAATTTGTTTTAGACGAATCTACGATAACCATAGATCAGTACTCTGTATACAATGCATAAATGTATTAAGTTAGATTATAATTAATTTTCTGTATGCCCTAGTACAAATAATATTCTTAATCGAAATATTCTATACACATAGATCATTGATTTTCCCTTTTATCCCACTTTAAAAATATCCAAACTTCAGAGTACCTTAAAAAATATTCATTTATATCTTATTTAACTGAAACAATTTGTTTACTATAGTACATCATTCCAACTGTGAAATCCAACAGAATTTGTTTCATTTCATAGTACTGCAAAAAATAGCATAAAAATTTAAAAAACCTGATTTTGTCAAAGTCTTTCTTTCTTTAATTGGTATTTCTGAAAAACTTAAAACTTTCCAGGAAATGTGGGTATGCCAATCGATTCCTGAAGAAATTCTCTATCAGAAACATATGTTTTATTTCAATATTACGACACTGGAATTAAATGTACCTATCACGGGTTAAATTAAATCATTGGTTGCTTCGAAAAGTTCATTATATCAAACAAATAATGCTACTCAAATCTTTGAAAATAACAATAACACCAAATTATAAATGGAAGAAATGATGTGTAAAGTTCATACGCGTTAATTATTACAATTGTACAGAAAAACATACAACATTGAATTTACAATATAACATAACTGAGTGTTCACTCTAATTTCTATACTAGTAGATAAGTACATGGTTGTAAATAATTCAATTGTCAACTACATAGACCCCGTATGCCGTATACACGTGAATAGTTCAATAAAATTTCAATTAACATATTATACGTCTGTGTGTAGAGCATTAGAAACGATTATTTTTAATAAAATCGTTCAAACCATTCATTTTTAACATCAATAAAATAAGCAGATCACTATTTTAAGGGCAAAACTTACGTATGATCTGGGACATATTAAAAGCAGTAGTAAAACGACAAAAATGAACGTGGAAACAAAATGCCTCCGTGGCGCAATCGGCTAGCGCGTTCGGCTGTTAACCGAGAGGTTGGAGGTTCGAGCCCACCCGGGGGCGGATTTCTTTTTCACACCTTAACAAATTGTGTTTCAGTTTTAATATTTCCACTAGTGAACAAAAATCCTGCGTACTTTTACTGTTCATAAAATTTTATGAAAAGAATAGTCAACGTAGCGTAATTAATTCTGGCAACAATATACTTATTCATATTCGTAATTTTATAAATATTCGTATAACAACCTTTGCGTGCTATTCTTTCAAAATTATGCAATTATACTACTTTGAATTAATAAATGATTCTAATTATAAATTAACTTCGAAATATTTATTGTCTGCATTGAACATATGCTACCTGAAGTAAATAAGTAAACAAATTTTCTCGATTATTATTAATCCCCCTCGAACGACGGGCTCCGTAACTTGTACAGACCATGCATTTTCCATATGTTGTCGTGATTCGAAAAAAATACGGACCTATAGATATAACAGGTATCGTGCACTATCAGTCTGTTCATGCAAACAGGGAAATTATACAACATACCGTTTATCACATTTATTTCGTGACGTATCTACTTAAAATTATCACAACGATTGCTGTCAAATTTTTCTTTATTTATAACATTAGAGAAACAATTTGAAAGCTTCCCTATACATTTTCTGATAGTCTCATTGTTAGACATGACTTTGCAAAGAGAAGATACATCTTTAGAAACTACTATTATAAATATGAGCCTTATGTATATGTATAAGTGTAGAGAGTGATACGAAAAACTATAAATTAAATTGGTAAGAATTTCAGCGTCCATAACTGCTACCTTTGTCGTAAAATGGCACCCGACACTCTATGAAATTTCGGTCTCTTCACACCCGTCGTCAAGGGGTTAAATAATACATACAATTAATTTAAAAGCCTAAGGATTGGAAAAATAAAAATTTCTAACGAAAAAAAAAACAGTTTGACCCCGACGTGATTTGAACACGCAACCTTCTGATCTGGAGTCAGACGCGCTACCGTTGCGCCACGGAGTCATGTAGTGTAAAGGTCTTTCAAAATGTTAATAAGCAAAAGGTCAAACTACTACACATTTAAACACATGTATATTATTGATTTATAATAAATAAATTCAGATTTATACTCGAAAACGAGTACGTTTTATAGAATATTTTATATTATATGTTAAATTACTTTCGTGTAAAATAATAGATTCACTGAGTATACACATAATTGTAAGCATATATTAAGTTACATTAAAATTAACGTATCAAATACCTGGTTTGTCAGCATAAAACAAGCTAGAACTCCCAGTGACCACCAATCTACCTCTTGTCCATAATATTGCCTCTTCAATATCTCCGGTGCTATAATTAATAAAAAATATGTATAATTGATACTTCAATCTTCTGAACAGTTTTTCAATATTTACCCATATATTCCGGGGTCCCACAAAGTGTATTCGTTCTTTCTGTATGATTTAACCATTTTGCTAGACCAAAATCAATAATTACAGCATGTCCTTTTTCATCAAGAAGAACATTTGTTGCTTTTATATCTCTATGTACAACTCCAGCATTGTGTAAAAAATCTTTAAAAAAACAATAAAAACAATTACAAATTTTGTTACATAGTAAATTATCAATTCAATATAATCTGCACTTACCAATAGCTAAAGCAATTTCTGCTACATATATTTTAACTACATTTTCAGGTAAACAGCCGCATTCCTCAATTAGTGAAAATAGTTCTCCACCCCCAACATAATCAGTCACTGCAATTAATAAATATTATAGACAACCTATAGTAACCAGTAATAATACAACAGGAAGCTTACATATATATAATGTCTTTCTTCCTTGCCACATATGAGTACAGTTTAATATAAATGGATGGTGACCGACAAGCTTTTGTATGGATACCTAAAATTAAATAACAGTCCAATTTATGCTACCAATTTCTGAACTGTTAAACAATTAACTGTCATTGTACACATACCTCTTGTTTAGCCTGCTCTATACCATTTTCTGCAACAACTTTGGCTTTGCTAATTACTTTCAAAGCATAAACTTGTCCAGTATCTGGTTTTAGAATCTGATATACTTTTCCATAAGCTCCTTTAGCTATCACACACAATAGCTTATAAGAGGTTTGCAAAGATACTTGTCGTATTTGAAATTCTGGCAGAAACATGGCCTGAGAACGTGACACTGGCCATTGCGTTTTAGAGGCACTTAATGAATCAAATAATGTAACCTCGCTCCAACTAAAAATTATAGAATCACTGTATGTACCATACAAGGTAATATTTAAAAGACGAATAAATGTACCTTCTATATGAGGCACGGGACCATGATTTAGATTCTTTACTTGTGGCTTGTGTTGTTCCAATACAACTACCACCAATTAAATCACTAAGACTGTACTGTGCAATAGAAATAAAACAAAATGTGTTACACCATATGAATTGATATATATTTATATATATAATACATTTATTGTATCAACAATAGTATTGAAATTGTAGAGGTTATAGTAATTCTTAGAAATATATACCTGACTAGTGTACTTTTGATTATTGTAATACTTGTTTTTAGAAGTAGTATTACCCATTCGAACTGCAAAACATCACAACATTTTTAAAATCTTAAATTTCAATTTAACAGTATACATTATTTGTTTTATTCACATTTTTTATTTAATTAAATGCTTAATAATTCTGTTACAACAATTTCATCATTAATCTGTACTATAATAGCTTACAGTTAATGTTTGATGAATAAAGTGATTCATTATAAAAATCAATTTTTAAATATATATGATCTCTATACTTCATGTATAACAAGATTTCTTTTCATAATTAAAAGAAATATTAATTTTTTCACATAAAAGGACTATACGTTGACAAATTGTCAAACTGTTAAAATTACATGATTGTAAATGAATCATTTCTGTAAACTATTAAATAAAATATTCTATAGACCTGTTATCAAACAGCAAAAAAATCAAAGAAACTCAACACAAACGTCACCGTATTCCTGTCATTTGATCTAGAATAAGGATGCGTACTGTTATATCGAATCAATTTTCCTATGTAAGTTGAAAAAACAAACGAAATCGAGCATCATCGTATTCAGGAGTGGTTCACGATTTGAATTGTTACAAATTAAAATGACGGATGTGTTGTCACGTGACTCGGTAGACCGCAGATGACACATAAGGATAGACTTATTCTTTTATAAATGTTCTCCAACGTAAAACTAACGTACCGACGTAAATAAAATGTCTATAATTCCATTGATTAATATTAGGTACCTACGTATTTCGGTAAAAGAGAATCTTAAATTACAAATTAACAGTAAACACAAAATGTTAGCTGCTACAGTTACTCAAGGACTACAAAATTTAAACTGTGGTCCCGACAGATTTACGCTCTTACAGTTCGTCGTGGTGAGTCGGGACCAATCGATTTTCTCTTAGGTCGTAAACGAAGTAAATTTCAACCGAACTTGAAGCTGTTCTTCGAATTTTTGTCCTACTTTTAAGTTTGATACTCGAACCACTCAATCGTTAAAGTACTTTAAATTTAATATTTGTTCATTACAATCCATATTAAAAACTCAAACAACACTTTTAAATTTTTCTGTGACTTGATATTGTACCAACTACTAATCGGGAAATTGTCAATTAGGAATATCAAAGATCGCGGAATAAGGCATGTAAGAGACATCTTGTACGCAATGAAGTAACTATTTCAAACACATACGTACGTATGTATATGATTTTAAGGAGAAAGGAAAAGTATTTTCAAAGTCCATTAGGAATTTAATGTTGAATTTTTTGCTAAGTATTATTTTACACAATCTTATATGTCGAAGACCATGTGGTTAATGAAAATGTTGTAAAAAATGTGTGTATAAAATTTATTAAAATTACTATGTACCCTGCCACAAAAGATAATAGTATAGAATAAGAGAAATTATTGAGATAAAATAACACACAATTTTCTTTTGTACTTTTCTATATTAATCATGTTTTTGGTAATAAATAACATACTTTTCGTATAAATGTAGATTTGTGTATTGATTGAACTAATGCATGTCATTTCTCGTAGTGGGTTTTAATACAAAAAATCTTAAATTGCTACATACATGCGTAATGGTCACGTACATGATAATTTATATCATATGGTTCCTTTTTTTCGAATATTCATGTTAGTAGACTAGTTATAAAAACGTAATAATGTACTATATTATCTTTTATAAAACGATCCGACGTTTGCACTGTAATAATATTAAAAATATCGGGATACAAAAGAAAGTCATATTTGTCACAGGAACTTTTTCTTTTGTTTCACTTATTGTACATCCGAAGCCAATTTAAAAAATGTGAAATACAACATTGTTTCCTTTATGTGTAAAAATGCACCCGACGAGTGCTTCGAAACATTCATTATTGGTCAAAGTAAAAAATGTACAAAATAGAAAATACAGTAGTTCTATTGGTCTCAAAGTACACACTCTGAATTATTTTCTGTATACATTCCAATAAGTAACGAAATATGTTCCACGAGATGCAAGTTACATGTATCTTCGCTCATTCACGTAAATTACATTAAATCCAGTACTTATTGAAAGTATTAAAGACAATGTTTATTGTATGATTGTATCGGTCGTTAAATGCATAAATTCGAAGTTAACCACACATATCTTATAATAATATACTGATATATAATAGCATACAAAATTTTGTAAAAAGTATTGTTGTGTATCTAAACTAGTGTAACTTCATTATGCTTTGGCATTTTTGTTATACATTACAATATAGAAATACTTAAAAAATTAAAGTATTATGACTCTCATACATACAATTATTTTCTTTGTTTGAATCAAACAAGAAATACATTTATTCAACTGAACCCATTTCTATGAAATCCGTTTTAAGATAAATTCATATGGATCCCATGATAGCACTTGTTGTTTGGCACAAGAAATATTATTGTAAATTTCGATATACAATAAACATTATACAGTATGATTTTCAAGCAGGCACATGTAAATTATGTTTTTTTTTCAAGCATAATTGTACATGATCAATAGCAATACTGTCATGTAGTATTAAGAGGAAAACACTTCCATACAATTATTCTTTTTAACAACAATAACGAACCATAACAGGATTTTTATACATATATATCAATCTATTGTTCTAGTACTTTAATTCTACTGTAATAAAAGATGGATATTATGCCTGAAAATTAAACATTTCAATAACCACCTAGTGCAGCTGAACGAACTTTATGCCATTATTCCAAACAGGATTTCAATCACCTATTACAGATAAGGATAAAATACCCAGTACTTGATTCTTTCTAATTTCAGGAATTAAAGTAATCATACTATTGGTTACAACCTAATCTGATATTTGGCAGACATGTAGCTCAAATAAATTGACTTTGTTAATGTATAGAGTGAAATAAATATTTTTTTATATCATGTAAACTTTTCATTTGGTATTTAAGTACTGGTTACACCTTTGCGAGCTACTAACAAATTTAATACTGGACGCTTCATAATATATGACACTGCTTCTTTATGAGTGACCATGGTATAATCATACCCATTGCACTGCAATATTTTGTCATGCATTCGAAGACCACTTTTAGCTGCTGGTGATCCTTCATGTACCTCGGTTACATATATACCCTACAATAATGCAACATTAAGTACTCATACATTAAAAATATACAATAAATTTATAATATTGAGAATCTAATTATATTCCTCACATTATCTGTATAACCTTGTGGACTTTTCCTAAAATCTTGATCAATTCCACCAGCAATCTTAAAGCCACATTTCATTACTTTTTCCCCATTCTCATTGACTTCCATTTCTTTGTGTAATGTAATTGGTATCTGAAAGGAACGAATAACACATCCAACATTGAGTTAAATGTAATATTGATTGTTATACTAAAACCTTTTTATAACAAATTATTTGAATGTTATACTTATAACACAACGAAATTATTTATTATTACACACTATTACCAAAACATATAAATGAAAATCACGTTCGTTGATCAAGTTTACGTCCAGAAGGACGTGACAATTGACGCATTAATTTATTGAGCACGAGTGAATAGCACTTGAATAACCATGATACGCACACTTAAACATTTCATAGCGGTACCAGCTTGGTGCTGAAAAGCCATTTTCGCACACATAATGTCGAATGTTGTGGCTTTGATGTGTTCAGATTGACAATTGCTTTCAATGACTCGATGTAATCACCAGTTGTATACGGACTGCCACCAAGGTACTAATGACAGCAGAGTCGAAATGAATTTAAGAATGCAAAAAGAAACGTGTTAAAAAGTGCTTAAAAATGATTTTGTTTCTAAATACGTTTAACTGATTAATAATGGTTAAGCTAGGCGTTGTTAAGATCAGTTAAGACAGTCCTTTTCACACATTGACAGCCATACGTATTGAGTAATATAGATAGGAAACTACCTTTGTCAGACTTCACCGTAGAAACGCACACCCCACTCTGTCGGTGTTGCAGCAACTTGCATCATAAAACACCTGGCGAAATGTTTAACCACCGACTAGGTATAGGATAGACCTATCATCTTATGGGACTTCGTGTCTCATGTTCTGAAATACCGATAGTGTAAAATACCGATAGTGAGGAACCTAACGCCGTTATGTATTGGGTGTAGGCAGGTTTGTTCATGTTGAATTGTTTTTGTCGGCTTGAACAACCTTCCTTGAACGACCCAAACATCGGATGGTATGGCCAGGTATGGCCATGGTACACGCGTACACGGCTAGGTCAGTAAACTGTGTGACGCAACGTCACTAGTGCGTTGGACCGACGGAGAACAGCGATACCGCGGCACGCTCTACCGTACTCTATCGCTCGCACACCTACCCTCAATTAAACAATTTTTAGTTAACAATTGCTACCGACATTACGACATGGCTATTATTTAATAATTTAGAATAAAATAAAATTTATTCCACGTGAAAGTTCATAAAACGATCCATATCTTGCAAGTTTCTGTATATCTCGATATCTATCTGTTATAATTATTAACAATTCGCATTGTAAAAGGGATAATACAATGTTGAACATCTCCCACCCAAGATGTGATTGTTATAAACATTATAATATTAAACTTATTGTGAAATAATTTCACGCGCATTGAGTAGTTTGATTTAGTTTAATTAATTGTGTTTTATTTTAATTCATTTTAATTAACTCTGTTATATTTTGATCTATTATAATTACTTGAGTTTCATTATGATTTGTTTTAATTAACGATGTTTTATTTTGATTTATTTTAATTCAATAACGTGAAGAAAGAAGCCATCCTCCGAGGGATTTCGATATTTATAGTATAAGCGTATTTAGATATCTAAGTTGATTGTAAGATTATTGTGAAAGGTGGATAGATGGAACTTGTGTGTCCATCTATCTTCCTTGGGTCTCCACTTGCAGCAACCTCCACGTGGTGAGACCTGGTAATCGGTGTTATCCTCGATTTGCATTTTTGTAAATCGCGGATAATGCCGAGCCAATGGCTGCAAACCCATTGTAACATAATTGTAATGTATACCGAGTAGTTATTATTTTAACTGCCGTTGTTCTCCACTTAGCATCAGAGAGAATCGGTGCTCTCCTTCCGAGAGCATCGACTCTCTGAAACATATTCTCCTTCAGAAAATATGCACTCCTTTTGTCTGTAATAATTGCTCGGTATGCATCTAAATGTTATAGTTGTAAGTTAAGTCGATTGTAAGACTAGTGTAAGCTCAAGAAAGAAGACATCGATCATCCACCGTGGGATCTTCATTTTATTTTCAGGTAAACTCAAGAAAGAAGCCATCCGCCGAGGGAAATCAACATTAAAGCGTCTAAATTTCAGTTACATTTAAGTTATTTGTAAGACTTTGTAAAAAGGGAGGTAGATGAAACTAATGATTCCATCGATGTAACTACGGTTACATAGATGGGATTGGGTTCCATCTAGCTTTCTTTGGGTCTCCACTCGCAGCAACCTCCTCGTGGTGAGACCCGGGCAATTGGTATTATCTTCGGTAAAGTATTGTAAACTGAAGGTAATACCAAGCTAATGGCTGCGAACTTAAAATTAAATTCTCTAGTTGGAAGAATAAATGTAAGATCGAATATTTTTGATAAATGTTCTATCGTACATGAAACTTAGATTATTTTAAGACTAAATGTAAGGTAGAAAATCTTTGTTAATTATATGAATAATAATGTGCAAGGAGTCACGTATATATTCGACTATTTTAATAAATTCATACCTTACAATTGAAATAAAGCTGAAGTAATATCCTGTAGAAGGTTGGCTAGTAGAGCTTTTGTCGGATCGAATTTTATTATTTACTTACTTGCAATAAATAAAATTATTGTAAATAAATGATGTGTGAATAAAGTTTACGTACACTCTTATTTCCTCTCTGATAATATCTTAGAATCCAAAGAAGAAAGAACGTAAACATGATCATGAGTTTCGTATATTTTTATTTGAACCGTAGGAAATGAAGGAAAGGATTAAAGTCAAAATTGACTAAAATTTCTAATCGTATGATCTATCCTAGATTTCATCCGTGATTTTACTTGCTGATCATTTAAATACACAACTGAACTAGCAATAAAAAATGGAAGAAAAGTCTGTTTTTATTGGAGGCAAGTTCAATAAAATTCTTCATATCAGGGATTTCGGTTTCGTGTGTACATCTAAATAAGTTTTACATTGTAATTTACTTGGACATATTGGCTCAAGAGCAAGGCAATGTCACATGCAATACACTTATGTATACACTAAGAATGTCACATGAAATATCCTTCTCAAAATAGAAGGAATGAAACAGAACGATAAATTTGTGTATAACAATATTCTATTCACAACGATGATATGATAAAGTAGCATCCAGAGGCAACAATTTCTTTCCGGAAATGGTACAACTTACATTATACATATACGGATATATTAAATTATATACACATTATAGCGTATATTTATGTTATGTTGCGCTACATTAGAAACTTTGAACAATAATACTTTCCATTTTCAGCACATCACCTTTCTCTCGATTACGAGCATACAATAAATAAATGTCCACTCATTCTGTTTGCAGTTATCACACAACTATAGTTTTACAAAAAAGTATCTTTCGTACCAGCAGCCTTAGCAACCACTTCTTTGTGAAATGTATATTGTTTCCTTTTAATAAGAGTGTTCTAGAATAGTCTAGAAGAGGGCCTTCACGCGAAAACGATATGGTTCGATTCTATAACAGTAAACATACATTATGTATGAGTTTCTAGAGGTCTAAATTAATAATGCAATAATTTAACTGGTATGGAACTCTTTAAACACGTAGATGTCCCCTTCTTTGACTGTTCTCACGTTGTACAAAATGCACCTTTTCTATTCGCACAATTTTCAGGCTAAATTATTTTATGTTCTCAATTTCTGTTATTCCCATACTTTCTACTTATGTAAAATTACGTGTACTGTTGACATTGTAAAATACCTTCAGAAAAGATATTTTTTATAGTTAGGAGAATGGGCGAACCACCTCGATTCAAATATACCAATACAGGCTTCCAACAATGCTAAACAGATACACCTAATTACGCTACTCTACTTTGGCTCCTCAGTGAGATCAGCAGTGTTCCCTATTTCGTTCTTTGATTTTCGTAAGATTTATAAGACGTCGAAACGGCAAATCGAATAGAAATCGCCAAATTTACGACCAACCTCGATTTGTAAATTACATTTTCACTACGTGACAAGAGGGGTCGACTGCTTAGATCGATACAAGTTCGTTACATTTAGAACTGAGTTCAGCAACGCCATAAATGTGTAGTGTTGATTGTACTTCGTTACATTGTTCGTCCACTCGTTTGTTTTGTCTGTCTAAGCGTCGTACAAAGAGACACAAAGAACCAACTAACGTAATCAATTTTCTAGGTCGATAAAAATGAGACAGTAATTCAACCAGTACATGAAGCGATTTTTAGGCTCTATTCTGTTAAGTGTTTCCGGTATTTCGTTGATAAAGGATGTCTTGTAACTAGTGGTCGTTGTTTTATATGAATAAATGTATCGAAAATGTAAAATGAAGTTCTTTCATGAGAATCTGTTATTCGAAAAATATTGAGTTTGAATACTTGACGGATATGTAAGCATTCAAGAGGAAGCTGTTTCTTGCTACTATAGATGGAAATGTTTGTGTATTTGTTAACTATTCGACAAGCAAATTAAATAAACTCAATTTTCTTGAAAATGACAGCTCTCGCGAAAAGTGTATCATTGTACAGTTTTGTCGGGTTATTTATTGTATAGTTTTTACCTCTCAAATTGTACCACCGGTTATGGGACATTCTGTATAACGTGCCGCCATATTGGGAGTAATATGTATCATGCTGTTCTGAAATTGATAATAACGTGACGGGGGGTGAAAGATACATGACCCTCCCACGCAACATTTATAATTAGTACGTATTGTCGCTCCGACATAGGTGGTGCCAGCCACTTCTACATCACAACCAAGGAATCTAAATCGACACCTTTAGTTTCACATACGCTCGACCTTACTCTTCCTCTCGTCCTTTCATTCGAATAAAAAAAAAAAAAGAAAAAAAAGAAGAAGAAGAAGAAGAATTAACCAACAAGAAACTAAACACAGAAGCAGGTACTCTAAGAGTTAATCGTGTACCGCACAATATCGATACAGATTTGATCACAAAGAGAGACAAAGGATAACCGACAGCAATGCCTAGTACGCTTCTTCAGAATGCCCGAAGTGTATCGAAAAAGAAAAAGACGTAACGCTTGGAAATATACATATACTTTTGTCTGTACTAGTTTGGTTTACTATTAACACGAATTACGTATGCTACATAAAATATACAAATCCTTAAACGTACTACGTGAAAACTATGGCTTCATCATAATCTGTGTTAGAGAATGAGTCGATTATACGACTCGACTGAACGTGTCCCTTTCAACGCAATTATCACCATGAAATTAAAAAAAAATATATCGTTGTTTCGAAGTACCATTCGCCCCCTGCCATTTCGGTCAAGTGTCATTCTACGGTCGATCACGATACTTCATCAAGTATATGTATATGCGTACTAATGATTTACGCGTGTAATCAATCTGATTGCATAAGGGACATTATTTCACATATTTATAGGAAAATACATGAGATTAACATACACGCACGTATATGATATATATGGGTCATTTAAAAAGTTCCTCGGAATAAAGTATAGACGAAATCAGTAGTTCTGAAGTTAATGGAAGATTTTCGTCTGTTATATGAATAACAACATATTATGTCCAATGTACTGCATAATATTTTGGTATACAATTGCTCGAACAAAAGTGCCTTTACATTGTATGCCGCGTCCCCTAACTGATCAGCTCATTGGAATACCGCTAGTCCAAGTGCGCTGATGTTAAAGGGAATTCTATGGAAAAATAAAAATATATCAAAAACGACACGACTTGTCGTTCCACTCCACTCCATCAACTTTTCAAATGACCGACGTATAAATATACAAGGGTAACTCGTGACATACACAATACGTAACACATATGTATATATAAACAGTATTCTTCGGTTCTCTCGCATTTTCATTTAACAACTGATTAAAGCTAGGCATAACAATACTAAAGTAATAAACACTACAAGACGTTAACACATGTATACGAGCGTTTTCCGACAAACTGTATAATTAACAATAAATTCGATGAAATAATCTGCGATACGTGGTATATACAGGGAGCATCTTCCCCCCCAAAAAAATGAAATTTATGTCCCACAAAAAAACGACGAAGATATTCATGGGTTTAATCGTGGGTGACTCTCCCCCGTATATATGTGTACGTATATACACAAATACATAACGATAGCATCTATAGTCCAGTTAATATTAAGTATTCACGTAAATAACCAATTATTTTTTTACATATATACATATGGAACAGCAAAATTTGCGTACAACTGAATGTCTGACTCGACACTGATTATTGTCTAAATTCAGTGTGTCGCGGGTTACGTCCAACTGTGCCAACTGTTCTATCGTCTCGTTCAATCGAATAAGAAATCCACGATACAATGAACGTAAGAATCGCTTTGTTATATGTTTACGGACATCGAGACAAATAATCGAACAAGAAGCTTAACAAAACGAAAGGGATACAAGTCTACATAATCTCATTCGGTACAGAACCTTTTTCAACGCCTCTCAGCAACGGAACATACACACGTAATACTAGTATTCCGAAAGCGACCGAGGATACCTTTACGACAATACCGCGTTAATGTCGACGTCGTAATGTTTTCACATACACAAAGATACTTGTATATATGTATACAACTCTGTACATATAGAAATAGAGTTGCTAAATGGCAGTAGGGAATCAAATAAACCGATACGTCGTAATACCGAGTTCCGTGTTATTCCCAAGCACCGGCGAAACCGTATACCTCTAGTACTCTAATCTCAAAGTCACCGCTAGCGCAAAGTGGCGGGTTGTTGAATGTAGAGCACCGATCTGTCTTACCGTATCTGATGTTTTCGTCCATCCATATAGCTTGACCATCTCTGTAAAAAAAAACGAATTAGCGTAAATAGTTTAATGTGAGTGGATTAACAATACTTGTCCTGGACCACTATGCATACAGTAAGGTCAATGTTCCGATTTCTGCTCAGTACGTATATTTTCTTTTTAATGTAAAAAGTTAAATAATGAACTAGTTATGCAAAAAATTATTTGAATTAGTTCAGTATTTCCGAACAAAATGCTACAGCCCGCTGTTCAATAGATGGCAGCATTTTAATAGAAATAAATATAATAAGTGCATCCATCGTAAAGAAACATGATTTGAGAGGACCGTTGAGATCGTAAATTAGACGTGGACGCTGCGTTTTTAATAAAAAAAAAACTTACGGAATCTTTAGTATTGTTCGCCAAAGTTTGGTTTTGGCACTTCCATTTTCGCCGAGCAGAACTAGGGATATTTTATACTTCATATTAAATTAACTATTATTAAGTTAAAATGTTTCTAAAAATACTTTTATTTAAATTTAATTATACGGGAGGTTTACATTTTATATCTAATAAGATTTTTGGTCGATCTTTGCATAAATAAATAATAAAAATCAATTTCTGCGATAGCAGAACTCTTACATAATTACTAATTATAGTACTAATACTAAATATATATACTACTACATATCATTGATTAGAAATAGGGACATTGTCCTTATGTGATGAAACATACCCGCCACCAATCGTTATCATCTTAGAATCCGCCGCCATGAATAACTCGGCTGAATGATGAACCTTGGCTTCAGTGTGCGAAGAATCCGTGCCTACCCAAGGATATTTTGCTCGTTCAGGATACAAACTGAACAGAAACGTTTCACCTGTGCCAAAGTAGGCTTGTCTTTGTCCTTTATCGTTCTTTAAATTACGCTCGCACCATCTCGTAGAACAATAGGCACCAAAAACCTTGTAAATAACGACGGAACGAATATTTATTATAGTTTCTTGGACACGGTATAATATGTTAGTTAGAGTTAGAAAATACTTACTTCGTTATTACACGTCTTTATCATTAGCAGGGTTGGCTCGTGTTGCTCTACCCTAACGTAAAACGTTGTCAACGAACAACCATGCTCTTCTGTTGTATATAGTAGTATCGGTTGGTACATGGTGATCCTCATCGGCAACCAGGACCATAATGTGAATAACTGTCACAGAGTAAGAAGAAAATTAGTCTAATGTATTTGTCAGGATGAATATGCATGACTGTGCAAACATTAGTTTCGAATAAATTTCTACTCCTTCAAGAATACAGCAAAACTAAATCACAGCAGCGGATCATGCGCTTGACTGAAAAAAAAGAAATTAAAAATAAGACGTCCTTGAAGCTTAAAATTGTGAAAGTTTTGCATAAAATATTTTAATGTAGTACTTTATCGTACTGTATTCCATTACGTTTGGTCCACTGTTTTTGTGTAATTATAATTCGTAAACAGTTTCTCTATCATTGTTATTATTAATCTTAATTATTTATTGCTTGAACAGACTACATACACAGATCTATTACCAATGGTGCAATAAAGGTGGTAAACTCTAAGAACCGCGAAAGAAACTAAATATGCTTGAACAAAATGCAAAAAAATCATTCTCCATGCAAAATGTGATAGCGTCATACGAATATAAAAGTGAATTGTTACAATAAATTTGAATTTTAAATGAATCAAGGTTGTGTTTTGAGAAACTGATGATGCAATGCGGATGATATAATAAAACAATTGACTAATATTACAAATATACAATAGCATACATGTCTAATTGCACGCATTTCTAAAAATGTTCAAACAGTTTAGAATCACTACCATCGTTTCACTACTTGTTATTGGTATTACACACTAATTGCATTACCAGTAAAAATCGTCTGACATTCGCATAAAGATTGCAACACAAATTCATAAAGGTCTGGGGAAGGGAAATACCATAATGTCGTCGTGAATGCATGAACAGAACAAAAAGAACGCATGCCAAATGAACAGCAAAGAATGATAATCAGAGCTTAAATATGTTCAGAGGAGCACAAAGCAGTGCACTGTTCTAATCAATGTAAATCAAATTATATACCATTCAGTTCAACGTATAAACTGGCAAAATAGGAAATCTTAGGCAAAAAAGAAGTAGAATAGAAATGATAACGAAACCATGACTACAAAGCTGTAACAATGACTTAATCAATAATCAGCTAATGTACTTGCATCTTTCAAATGGAAGACAATAAAGTTTCATTTACATCAGTCTGACCCATTTCACAATTTTGAAGACCATGTTTAACGGTTGCCACCGTTTAACCCATACGACTCGTACATGTTTTTTGTCTACTACGTTTGAGATAATAGCCATGATGGGAATATGATGTAAACTACCCATAATATATACTTCCAGGTGGCTGTATGTACAACGATAACAACAATATCGACATGCCACAAAGACGCGGCCAGCGTACTACAGTAGACATTCGATTCACGCACAACTCGGGGCTTTGTCAAGGGCCAAATTTCCAGCCAGGAGATATCAAAAAAGTTTATTCGCAGAAATTGTTCAGTATAGAGTGGACTATTACTTAGCAGTAACAAATGTCTAGCTTGGTTAGCATCTTTTACCCATTACGTGTGATCCACGAGACAAGAAACAGTGAAATTGTCACCAATACAGTTATCCCAGAAATTGTTAAAAAAAAATTAAATGCATAATAACATGGCAATAATAAAAATATGTAGTTCCAGTTTTTAAAAATTTACATTGGTATTAAAATCTGTGTAAATAAGAAAAAAAATTCAAATATTTCATTAAGTTTACACTAACAACTTTCATATGAAACTTTCCTATGCATTTTCAATGATCACAGAAATAATAGCGTGTATACAGTTAAACCGGACTAGCTATATGAATTATTTTATATTTTTTTCGATTTCTATGATAAACCTTAAGATATTTAACACACCTTAAAGATATTTAACATTCTTGTGTCTAACTCTAACTTTGTTATACCTTATACTTGTCGCGTACTTTACATTTATATTCAATATGAATCAAGCATAATACGAAATATAGTTGATTATAATTGAAAATATCTGAAAACATCGAAAAATTTTATTAAAAGTAACCCCGTAGGTATTCTGTCCTGGGCGTGCTGGACGATAGAGTGGAGTACGCGCACCTGTAAGTGAGGGGCCGTTCCTATCGTGCACACGTAAGTCGAATGTCTACTATACGGAAAACTCTGCTATTTGCCGTACTTCGATTAACGAACGGCCGTTACGTACTTACATCAGGCATGTCTAGAATCTGGGAGCATATGCTTTGTATGGGATAAACGCCCATTGACAGAGCACGGGGTCCAGGACTGTGTGCACCCTACACCCATCACCATTAAATCCATCATCATTCCAGTAATGCAGCATGACACAAGACAACATAGAACCGTCAGTTATGTTTGGTATATGGCTTTGGCACGACTTTTATCAACGGGAATATATTAATATGAAACACTGGTTAAGACCATAGGAGACACAGAGCATACAAGGGGAACGATCAATAATAATTTTCACATGTTTGAATATATCACTTGCAGCGTGGTATACAATAGATGAATGCTCGACCTCACTGTTAACCAGTGTAACCAACATGGAACCTTGAACACAAAACGATGTATCGGTATGCTAAGAAAGCATCTAAAAAAAAAAAAATACAGTAGAAGTTCGATAATTGAGGGGAAGGAACGGAGTACATACGGTAGCGCATTTAATTCGCATATCATCAGAGCAAATGCGGTGTGTATAATATTGTTTGAATAAAATTTTTCGATACTCAATAACTTTTGTGAATAAACTTTTTCGTTAAATTATTTCTACAGTTCCAAAATGATGAATTATCGAGCTTCTACTGTAATTAGTAAAACAATTAAAAATGCGTCGTTTCAACGACCATTGCGTCTCTTTCACAGCAGTTATAACGAAAAGTATTAGAAAACTGCGATGGACAGAAGTTTATGAAGCACTCTATATTCACTGATCGAAACTGACGTTGCGTTTCAAACGTTTCTCAGGGGCTTTCCCTCAATTTGCTGAAAGACAGGTTCGACCATCCCATCGATCAATGAGAAGCAAACATCTCATTTAGCCCACCAATAACAGTCACCATCTATATTCTGAACTTCAACATTCTTTTCGGGCAAAGAGTACACCGACCAAGAGTATACTTTTTGTTGTTGTTATTCTTACGATTTGCGAATCGTATTTATGAAACACTGAAAGCCAGTGAATACCTGACGAACAGACAAGGAATTTTACAACCGAAGAAGTCCTTGTTATTCTATTAATCGAAAAAGGCAGTAACTGCAAGTGGATAGACGGTAACAGCGACAAAGCTGGCACGATAAAGTGTAATAATGGGTGAGTATGAATGAATGTAAACAGGTAGTAGTTCAGGAACAGAGGGCAGAGCACATGAAACTAACAACACATTTCCCAAAAAGATAATTATACGATACCCTGTCTTTGTATCTGTCTTCACACTCTTTCTGAAAACAAAGTGAATCACTGAACAGCTTTCGCATAGTACGCTTTTGATATACCCTAAGAAACTATGTTTAAACGATGAACTTTGTAAATTGTACATTGTTATCTTAAGATAGGGACAGTAATAAACGTGAACTATTTATACTAAACCTGTAAACCTGCAACGTTTCTCACAAATACGGAAAGAATCATTCAACACTAAATAATATACATAATATCGCAATGGGCTCACATATATGTACACTATTTATCAATATAGTCTCATAGTATATAAATAAACAGGAGAATATTGATGTTAACATGCCAAGATCAAAAACTAATAAAAAAACCTTTAGCTACGGAAAAATCAACGGAATAATTTATGAAATTCAATCACAGGGTAAAACAATGTGAACAGAATAAGAATTCGTTTCATGTACGTGAGTCCACTGTACGGATCACTGTTTCAACAATTTGGCGTTAAACACCATTTCGATAGAAAGAAGAATATCGATAACGTACTTCTCGTATCGTGAGTGTATGCGACATCATCTGAATGTTGACTTGGGACTGACTCGTAGGTAGATTATCCGTGGACCGTGATCGAGCCAACGATCTGGATCCCGTTAAAACGCTTCTACTTTTCAGAGCCATTTCTGTGCGCAAAAATACCCTTGATATGTATGCTGAGCTGAGTCCACGTATCCCAAACGCGGTACGCAAAAATTTGGCCGGCGTTACCTGCAAATACAAATACAATTACGTTCCCATTTCCGTTTCCGACATTCTATAGCTAGGGGACACATTTCAATATCTTTACTCACTGGTATTTGCCTGCAAAATTTCGACAGAGCAGCATCGATACCGTTCTTGGAAATTTCATTCATCCATTCGGAATTTTGCAAGGACGAGTGCTTATAGAATAATAAAACTATAGCCATTGCTACTCTGTAGAAGACCTGAAATAAAATCAATGAATTAACTGTAAGATTCGTTAACGAAAATAAAGGGATATCTTAATTATTGTTGACAAATTTACATGATATTAATTTACAAATGACAAGCTAGAGAAAGAATCGATAGTTAAAAATACATCCTAAAATCGATCTGTTATTGGCATACAGTCAACACTTGGATTTTACATTTATACTATTCCTGGAAGCCATTCCATACGATACATTTATGATGCTTCGCTTTCTTGAACGAACGCCAAACTTTTCAATGTGCCGTAGGAAGATGTAATAAAAATTCGCGTGCTTCGAATCGCATTCCCCCGAGTTCTACAAACACCGACCTTGATGCCTTCGTGAAGAAAACAGTCCATAACCCTGACTAGATGTTGGAATGGAAGAAGCTGCAGAATCCACCAGATCCAATCCATATAAATTCTTTCTGCTCTTGATCCTGAACAATGCCTCGCTAAATGTACCGCAGCCGATTTCTATGATGAAGAGAACCAATAAAAATAACGTATTCTATCGTTGCATATTTCATTTAGCTTGTGTTTTCATGTATTCCTAAAGAATATTCTCTGATATTCAGTTGATCTTAAAGACTGTATTTCGATATAGACATAATGTACAAAGAAGAATCATCTTCCGTAAAAATGATCTAAGCATTCGTTACACTAATACATAAAAAAAAAAATCCTCTATATTTCCCTTCCGAACGGTGCACAACCATTTAACGAAATCTAACGGTTGTTTACTTTCAAAAAACAGATGTGTAGCCGCGAAATGTGCAAACGTTCCGAGCGTATAAATTCCACGTGTACAACACAGGCAAATGAAAATCATTTCGGGTGAAACACGCTCAAGTGGCTCGAGTGCGTGTGACTCATCCTTCTTCTCGGAGTAATAAGCGAACGTACCACGTGCTTTTTGGTGATTTGCTCTACAGTTTTCCAGGTAACTTCGTAGAGAAGTTTCGTTTGCGTAACGAACATCTTGTCCTTAGCGGCGACCAGGTTCGCCATGCAATGATAACACTCCTCCTCTGCAAGAAAACGTATTTTGTGAATACATATTCTGATTTCGGGCTATTAATAACTGGGATCATGTCCAACCGCGTGTCCACATCTTCATTTGCGCGAACCCCGCGGAAGAAATTCGAACCGTGGGTAACGACACGCGCGACGTGAATTTCCATTGTGGTTATTGAAACAAACGAAAGCGCCTAAAAGAGGAGTGTCACAATCTGGGGACGACGAAGCTTTATTTATACCCACCCGGCATGAAGTGAAGAAGAAGCGCCGTAATGGGGTAAAGAGAAGGACTGAAGGTGATGTCGGGACAAGCGTATCCAAGCACAGACACAACCCTGTCCGCCACACTCCTGCCTTTTCTTGTCAGGTTGTACGACAGGCAATGAGTGCTATCCACAAACGGCGGTAACATGATTGATTTTTCCGGCAGCTCTGTAAACATATATAATTCCAAGCGTCAGGCTTCCTGAACAAATACACGGTTCAGAATAATCGGGATCATCTGTTCAAATGACTACAACAATACATTAAAACCGCCATTTGTTATACAGGGTCGGACATTTAAAAGTATACACACTTCAGTATATTCGAATTTCCAGAAAACACGAAGAAACAAACACACTGTTGTCGGTTCTGGCCATCAGAATCTACGAGGGTGCTTTAAATGGAACCATATGTTTCTGTGGTAAAATCGTGTGAAATTAACTAAATAGACAAAGAAAAACTTGGTAGGTAATACTAGAATGTGCAAAATTCTGTTTTAACGCGAAGAAGTCGTTTTATGGTATATTCTAATTTTATTTGTTCTTCGACAGATTTATTCGTTAAATGAAGTTTAGAAACTGTGTAATTAGTTCTGAACTGCTTGATGCAGTAGATTCTAAAGAAAAATTAATAAGGTTAGGTAGACCTACAAACTGTACAACATAAGGACCCGTTAAGTGCTCGCTACTCAAGGGAAGTACTATTGAGAAACTGACCTGGAGGCTCACCTATACCCTAAGGAGTGGTAGGGATAACTCGCGAATATTTAACGAGTTCGTTCAACGAGTTAACGAGGTAATTTAACAAATCCGTTCAGTGACCTTTTAATAGATCCGTTGGACTAACATTTGGTCATCCGGAAAGTTTGTGACGGGTTTAAAGGTAGAATTGTGGTCTGTAGTTTTCAATTTGCATCTTATCAGTCTCATGAAATTTCTATCCCTTCTGTTATCAGATTCTTCGACGTACTTTCGAATAATTTTTCTCGTTCCGAATTTTTGATCATCAAATGACCATCCAACCACTAAGCAGGATAAATACTCTAAAATTTCACATTCGAACTACCATATAATTTTCCTACATTCTATGTAACCTTACGAAAACAGACTTTATACTCGCTCATATTTGCATTTGTATTTTGCACAAAGTAAAAATCAATGATTAATAGGGGATAAATCTGAAGTGTAATTTCTGTGGTAAGAACGATGAGTAATGACTTCTGTAGTAAGATGATGCAAATATTGTATCCAAAACATTATGAACCATTCAAACGACCTACCATTTCACGGATCTTTTATAGAGGGTGTTAATAAAAATATGGAACGTTTTCACAAGTTGGATTCTAGACACCAAAATACTATCCGCGAGAAAGCTACTTTCTCAGTGGTGAGAGATCTACCGATTTTCCTCATCCACTTCTTTGTAGTATGTCGCACCAGTCGACTGTGGGTAATAAATTTACTAAATCAATTATGTGAAAAATAAAATTTCTACGACCTTTATTACACGTAATTAAAATTACATCTAACAGACTGAAAAGATCTGTCTGATAAAAATGCGCCAAAACACGGTCTTAATTTGACTATTTTTATACCTCACTTACTAATGCGTACATAAGCTGATATATGACTAAAAATAGTCGAATATAATGCTGCGTTTGGACTCGTTTTCACCAAGAAAATCAGATCAATCCATTAAATACATTTTCATTAAGAAGAAATGAAAATAATAAATATTTTAATTCTGAATTACTACGAATGACTCGAGTTTTGCGCTCTTATTCACTCGCAATGTCTGTCTCACTCGACGACCGTGTTCAGCACGCTTAGCATTATCTCACTGACCATCGCGCCTGGTACCACGAGAGAGCTACTACGGACCCCAAAAGTAGCTTTCCCGTAGAGCTTACTGTAATGAGTACCTCCCAAACCTCCAAAATGTATTAAAATAAAGGTTTTAACCAAATGTACAGTGGACTCTAACTATATTGCCATGGTCGGGGCCGTAGGGGAGTAAAATGGCAATGAGTTCAAAGCCCCCTCCATGCTAAGTGCTATCGCCATAGCGTCTGCCTCAGCGCCTGAGCAAAAATTGGATCGCGCTGGTATTGGTGGTGCTGTATATCTGGAATTTGTGTGTTGAAAAGTACGTGTGAAGGGGAAGTGCCTCACCTGGCAATATGTTTAGTGGCACTATCGTTACAGTTCATTGTAACACTATTCATGCATATATTATTATTACCATAAAAAAGCCCTTAGTACAGGAATCAAAGTTCGGTTCAGTTTTATCTTTTATATGATACTAGACTGCGGATTTTATGCATTTATAGAGTATCCAATCATCTGAAATTCACCATATTAAAAAGTTTCGAAAAGTTTATTCAGATTTTCATTTTTCAGTTCAAACCTACTACAACCCTCAAACCAGGTGAATACAATTTTTCTTTGCGTCCAGTTTTTAACTCTCATCCGTCTCTTGTGTCAATTTGACACATTTTTCTCCTAAGAAATTATGTTATTCTATCATGTGTAGGTAAATTTAGCTGTGGCTTCGAGACTTTTATTTAAAAGAATTTTCAAATTTAATTATTTATCTCTTCAGTATGTTAATTGTATGCCACTGTATCAATTTGACACCAAGGTAAAAATTAAATTGGGACGCATCGGGGTTGAAAAATTAATTCATTAAATTTGGTATTTGCATAAACATCTGCGCAATCTATGTATCAGTCTTCAAAATTGTGAATTCGCATAAATTTTCGCAATCTAGTGAATAGAAAAATACACGTGTACATGTAAGGAGACATACCTGTAGTCCCGAACACTTGGTTAACCATGTCCCAATAGAATCCGTCCAGCATGTTCTTGCCGTGCGCATGTTGACTGCAAAGCACCGGCCAGAGTTGCGCCCTGATCCCGTTGTTCAACGGCCACGCGTTCTCCCTTACGATCAGCTTAACCTCCCTCTTTCGGCCGGCCTGGAGAAGCGCGTTGACCTCGCTGAACGTCTTTAGCGTTTGCTTCTTGCTGGTGGGCGACTCAGGCTGTATCACGATGTTCGTGGTGTCGACGTGTGGCGGGAACGCGTCGTCGATATCAGCGTTCGTCTCCTCCTCGAGTACCGACATCATATTCGGCGGATTGTCCAAATAGGAGGGTGTCTGTGTGACTAACATCGCAGGTGACGAAACTACGGCGCGAGATTTTTCTTCATTGTGCCGTTTGCCCTTAACCGTTTGTCCATGGTATTTACGTCATGTCCTGGGATGTTTCTATTTTCATCTGGAATCAGACAACGGTACAAAGAATTAAGGTGATTCAGTTTCGAGTGTTGAAGTGGAATTGTTTTTATTGTAAACTTTCAGAAGAAAATAAATAAATAATAGTGAGACCATAAACGAGACGTGACAGGGGGCAAAAATCGGGTCGTCGATGAGATTATCCGTAATACTACACACGCGGATATCGTATACTGTATTTCGTTTCTATGGTTTTAACACTTGATGTAGCTATTTCTGTACAAATCATGTGGGATTAACAAAAAATTCAACGAGGCTGGTTTGAAGAAGTGTGAAAAGTTTAAAGTTCAAAGCTTGAAAAGGTTGAAAGTGGTTTGATTAATATCGGAAGCTCCAGGAAGCAACATTTCATTTTTTCCTTTGGTTTCTAATATACTTCGGTTCAGTTCGTATAGATTTACGTTCAGAATCGATTATATCTGAGATTTCATAGAAGAATTAAAGTGCACACAAATCGCCAATGTTTATAGACGCCACAATACATCGAATATTTCGCTATAAAAATTCAAAGAACTAGCTCAAGAATACATCTAGGTATACACAAAAATTCAACCAAGTTCAGCTAATGCACTTTTTAGAACACTTCATAATGATAACACAGTTTTCATGAGGTTGAGAACAGACACGCCCTTTAAGCATCGACATCTGTTGTCGTGCAGATTAAATTAGGGGATTAGGGTCTAGTAAATTTGATTACGGTAAGAAGATGTTGATGCAGTTGAAAGGCAACAGTCGAAGGTCCAAAATACTTAAACGTTACAGTCGGACCAATACCAATTGACCGCAGCAGGCTGATATGATTACGCCCACGATCGCGATTGTATCTCTGGCATTTGTTTCTTACATACATAGATAACCTAGCATGGAGCAGTAGATTATAACGAATTAAGTACTTAGATACACTAATATCCAGATTTATAGTATACGTATTAACCAACTATCTCTGGCAATACTAAACTATTACACAGAATTAGACAGTTAACCACCAAACGTAAAATTATTCTTCGCCCCATTCTGTCTTTACGTAAGATACTCTGCCCTTTCTGATTAATAGAACTATCTAATAGAACGCAAATGATGATCAGATATGCTTAGGCAGATGGCTGTCTTTCATCAGTGGATATTGCAGTATCCATCAGAATTCTACTTTTCACTGTAATTAATTGCTTAATAAGCGATGTTACGTGTTTTTGACACAAAAATTGTTGTTAAATCGCTACTGACATTTATTTTCATTAATAAATCTTAACTACTGATTGCCCAGTTTCCTCTTTAACAGCCATTTTCGTTACAATTTCGTTGTTCTCCAATCGCCTCATTGCTTTCCATTATGTTTGATAAGTTGGTACTACACTGCTATACCGACCAGTTCATGATAAGAAACAAGCGCCGTGTTCGACGTAAAACAACGAATACTTGTTTTCCATTACTAGATGGCTCTGTTCAGACAATCGAACGACAGTGAATAGCCTACCTAAATATTCCCAGTTACTTCATCCTTAAAGCTTCTCAATCGTTCGAAGAAACTAACAAATAAGCGAGTATCATCACCTGTCCCGTTTCCTAGCTAGAATCCGTGCCGACCCATCACAAACCGACCACCATAATATAATTCTGTAGCGTAATTCTGCACTATTCCTGTCCACTCACAGAGATCGCCACTCCACTCGAGTTCAAGACCGAACGTCGGTTCACGATTCCGAGAATCTTCCGTAAACATTCCCATAATAACCGTGACTGTAGTTGACTGTATCATCCGTTTAGTCCGCGATGGATTTAATCACGGCTCGTTCGAGCGCAAACGGGAGGGGAAGCGAAAAAAAAGAAAAGAAGAAAGGAAGACAACGAGGGGGAAAATCGTCTGAGCCAACGCATCTCCCGCGATACCGTGTAAACGGTACATGTAATTTTCGTTGACGTCGCTCCGTTGCGGCACATTGGCCACTTTGCAACCGAAATCAATTGTCTTCTGTAAAGATGCCAGCGTAAACAAGACTCACGAGTGAACGTCACGTCTCCCGTTTCCTAACGACTGTCGTCTCGTTTTTCGTGTTCATTCGTCACCCTGTTTTGAAAATTAGGGAAAGATAGTGGCGCAAGGAGGCGGAATATATATATTTTTTAAATAAATCAAATTTAGTATTAATCGAGTAATATTAATTTATTGCTCGAAATAATTTTTCGGATTTTTCTAATACCTTTCGCCATTTTTCTGGCAACGATTGAATTCCCCGTCGATAAAATAAAATGGAACAATTAAACGCGAGAGCCATTATACTATTGCATACACTTAATATTTCCAAATATATTTTATTCTCGACAAAAATAATTGAAAATTTCGGATGACTCATAAAACTGTTCATTACTTGCCTTCGTATACGAATTTTCCGTGTTTTTAAGATCTATAAAAAGAATCTTGCACTACTCTATCTGGAAGAAATAAAATTCCACGAACACTTGAACGAAATCTGAAATGTAAACGTTGCAATATCATATTGCAGGAATCTCGGAATCGGCCAGAAGAATGCAGTTGTAGGAAGGAGCAAACAGCCAACAAAATTCCGGTTAACACATTGTCCCATGTGCTAACTCGAGCACCGGTCCTTGCAGCGGTGCCAGGCGTGAAACGTAAAAATCAGTGATGCGTTCGACCGAGAACAAGGGAGGGGTGAGAGGGACTCTACTTACCAACCGGTAAGCAGAATCAGACGGTGTTACCACAGACAAGATATAACAATAGACCTAAAATGCAATGTAATTTTCTGTCCCATGCTTCGGAGGCGTTAGGAGTCTCCGTAACATTTCAATATTCCATTCCTTGCTAGCGAAACCGGGGCAATAATCTGTGTATGTATCGCTCAGAGATGGGCAAACTCATTATCTAGATAAAAAATTTCGAATAACGAATAAAAGATAAATAAAGTATTTCGTCGTTTTTAATTGTTAAAACGTGGAAATTTCAATTTTTATAATAAAATAATACTTCTTTATGAATGAATCGACATTTGTCGAATAATTATTTAATCTCATTAACTGTTTAAAACTCAGAACGACGCCCTTAGATACTGCTGCTTTTCACTGTGTTATTATTCGAATAAAATACTGCCTAACTCTGGTATCGCTATATACAATCACGGGTGTGTGTGTGTGCTGTGCGTTATCACGGTGTCGAACGTAATTTCTGAAATCGGAAACTTTTATGTAAAGGTGCGCTCGAACAAGCGTGATTTTCGTCGGACACAAAGTCCCATAAGATGTTAGGTTTATTCTTATATTTCGTCTGTGGTGTTACTCTCGTTAAAAATATATGGCGACGGTGAGGAGGTTCGATTTACGCGGGAGCGAGAGAGTGTCGATCAGACAATGACCTCGGGGCGACGTGTTTCTAAAGGAGACGGCAAGCAGGAGACAATGGATATATAATATCGCCTATAATTAGCCACGTAAAAGCTGTCGCTAATAATAAGCAAACCAGCCAGATGCGAAACCGGTGAAGTAACGATAATCACGGTGTACTTAACGGTTATTAATAAAATGCGCAGAGTTATCTTGCAGCCATAAACACGTTTAATGCTTATCAACACACCATGTGCGACTCGGGAACATTGCTGGTACACAATCCGCCAGACAGACTGCTCGGCAGATAAAGCTTTTACGACGATGCCCCATTGTGCGGTGGAGGCTGCGCGCAGCAGATTTTCCGTTATCGCGACACAGGATTTAGAGAAATTAGCGATCCTCAGAGAGAAAGCGACGAAGTATCAGACACGGCAATGTTTTGATTTTTGAAGACTTACCTAACGCATTACCGACCGACGGTTACTTAAGGGGTTATGCCTACCTGCGAGCTTGAAAAAAGACATGTACTTTCGGAATTTATTTTTTAAAAACTTGAAGACTTTTTTAAGCATACGTCACTGTATTCGAAAGTGTACATTTTGAAGTGCTTATAATAATTTCTTCATTGCACAATATGAATAAATAGGAGAAATATCAGCGATCTCCCGGCGGCGTTTTCAATTTAGTCGTTTTGCGGTGACCACTGGAACTTCGAGTTGGTTTATCTAACATAAAAATCCGAGCTGATTTAGTTAATATATTAAATTATCTAGTGCCCGATCGTTCATTATCCTGAAAAATTAATTTACGACAAACTGGCGGCTGTTCAAAATCGAAGTATCGATTTTTGCCAAAAAGATCGTTTATTTTTTATCTATACAATAAAAACTACGCAATGAAATACAAAAAGTCACGATCAGGCACTAGATTTTTATGTATAGAATGAGTCCACCAAAGCTGAATCAGTTCGGTGCAGTGGTTGTCGAGATATTGTGTTCACCGATTTTGAAAATGTGGTTTTCAGAAAAACACGTTTAAAGTTTCAAGTGAGGTTTACAACCGAATCAATGCAAATTTTGTATATATAGTTATTCTAAGTATTACGGATTTATATAACTTTGTGTATTTACTAACACAACCATAAATTGCATTGGGGCACAGTATTCATGACTCACGCACCCCCAGAAAGGAATTCTACCATTTTATATCTGCTCCGAAACTTCCAAAGCCGTATACGTTAAAGGGGAGTAGCTCCGCCAATTTTGGTCGGATCAACTTCAAACTTTACCACATTTCTAAAATAATGTACTGTAAGAAAATATTAAAAGCCAAAAATCGATTTTTTCAAAATTTATAAGTAGGCATAACCCCTTAATAGGTTTCCTAGACCCAATGATCTCAACAGTGAAGGACCTATTCATAAATAGTTCAATCACGGTAGCGAATTGCTATCGTGAAACATAGAAACGGACCTAATAACATGATGTAACGATTTCTTTTTTAATTCCAATTTAAAAATCAATTAAATAGGCGTCTTATCACACTACAAGCCCGAAAGTCTATTTTTAGGTTAGGAAGACGTTTAGATGCTTACGGTTTAATTACAAGGTGTCCATTCTGGGCCGGTGTCAGAGCAAATTATCG